TTGGAGTTATTAACGCAACTAAGGTTTCATACACGCGTAAACCAGATGCAGTAAAGAAAATTTGCCTAAAAACAAAATTTTAGTCTGTCAAGATAAATGTTCCAATTGTCTGTTTATGGGTTGAATTCCTCGAACTTCACTGCTTTTGCGTCTGCTTGTAACATTTTCACCACACTTGTGAAAGTTTGTCCAGGGCAGTACTATCACCTTCCCTATTTCTGCCGCCAAGCAATAATGTCAGCATTACTGTGTTCCGGTTTTGAAGGGTAAGGGTGAAATTACAGGCACATGGGACTTGTCAACTTATGTCTCAGGGTGACGGGTGCAGTGATAGTGCCACTCAGATCTTTGAAATTTAACGCTCTGAGTGGCACTGTAACTGTTATGGACTAGCATGTAGCTTACCATCAGGCGCACGCATTATTAAGGGGTCGGAAACATTGAAGAGGTTGGGAATCCCTGGGTAGAGCTAAGTGAAGAATGGGTTGGGGACCCCGGGGTAGAGCTAAGTGGGCATTAGACATAAAGGTTTAACTTTTGTTTATATAATGTACAAGTGCGCATTTGACCTCCCTTTAACCTGATGGAAGACACATGTATCTATATAAGCACTTGAATCACCATGGTCTTAATTCTATACTCCAAGGAAGAAAAGGCATAAAAGGCAAATCAAATAAATATATTTTTTATATCATATTAAAAGTAAGTAAATTACTCATGAAATTGACACCTAAACTGAAACTCCAATTCTTCTTCGTAAGGCATGATACCCTTCCGAATGAGTAATGAACCCTAAAGGTTAGTAGGCATGGCATCTGGCACAGTTGGCTAGGAGACGTTGGTTCAAATCCAGCCAGATTGAAGTGAATTTTTTTTATGTGTTCAATCTCTGTATGACAATTGTAACAAGCTAGTGGAGTAATTTCACAAATATAATTGAATATCATGATGGTCAAACTTAAGGGTTGCTCTTTGGTAACCACAAAGTTTATAAGATAACTGAAAATCATAAACAACTAAACATTTTGGGTCACATTTTTCCCATATTTCAATATTCACATAAAAAAAAAAGTTTTTGTAAAATAAAACTTAAGATAACTAATAATAAACTTAAGAGACTGGTCCAAAGAGCATAACAATTTAATGCAAATACGACAATGAGTCATATTCAATACAATTATCTTCAACACTCTTTCTTCGTCAAAGTATCAAAAGCTTGGAATCACAAGGATCCTCAGACCTAAAGTAAGTTTGCCATTAACGGAGTGTCTGTCTCTCAGTGCAGCCCAATATAAAAAATGTCGTCTCATTATTAAATCAATTAAAAAGGCTATTGAAGAGTATTTCCAGAATATATTTTGATCCTATAGCTACTTTTAAAGCTAAATTAATCATAATCTATGTGGAACTCTGTCTATAGTTCTTGGTATCTAATATTTTCTTTCCGCACATTGCACAAATGCCTTTCTTGTATGCACACGCTTGGCAGTAGTGAGAGCCGGCTTGGTGGACTTTCGTTCGGCAGATTCTGAAAGTAATTAATTATAATGTTATACTTTTTTATCAATCATTATATTGAAAATAAACATTGAATATAAAAAAAGTATTAGGCCACTCATTTTACTCTAGCAAATATTTCATAAGGGTAAGTTTATTATCACCTGGTAAAATCAGTTTTGGAAATGTCAATGTCAGATACTTAAATAGGAAATAGGTTGGTATCACAATTTATACAATTTGAAATTGTACTCTGAATGTTAAGTGGTTTTTTAAATAAATTTCTAGTACTTATATTATTGCTTTGCGCAAGTTTTTTTTTTTTCATGTCATCAAGTGATGGGATAAACAAGTTGTGCGCAGATGTTTAGTGACTGGGTCATCAGATTTAACATTTCAAAATGTAGTGTATTGCACCTTGGTTCCCAAAACCCACAAATAAATTATAGTTTATAGGGTAATGTCATAAGCTCAGTCAGCCAGCAGAAAGTTCTGGGAATTACCATAACTTCAAATTTGAAATGGAAAGAACACATTGATACCATGGTAAAAAAGGCAAACTGTTTTATATATGTCATACGGAGATCTTGTCAAGGGATGACAGTTGAAGTATTTATTAAGTTTTACGAGACATATATTAGGCCAATGCTTCAAACATTGAATATATGGATTCCAAGTCCAGAGTCCATGCCGCAGGCATAATGGCTATCAGTCACCAACACTACCCACCACATCCTCGGCAACAGAGTGGAACAAAATCACAACAACAAACAAAGTCACAAAATGGAACAGGTTGGTTAATGCTAGCTCAGTGAATGCTTGCAAAAACTGGCTGGGCAGCCGTAACAGCCTTAAAAAAGAAGAATTTGTGTCTTCTAGGTCTTCAAGCTCTTCTAGTGTTTTGTGGAATTTAACAAAAAGATTCAGGACTATTTGTGAATTTGTGGACTCGGCTTTGATATACGCATCAGCTTCAAGCTGCTTGTCTATTAATAATAAATAAATAAATCATTACTACTTGATAGCGGAAATAGGTAACAGTACTTCTCTGAGTGGACTTGTTCACAAACAGCTCTATTGTTACTGCTACTGCAAGTGTCTATGGAAAATAATTTTACTGCTAAATATATCTATGGATTATAATTAAAACATACTTACTTGCATTCTTGGAATTTCGAAGTGTAAGGATTAATTCGCCCTTTCTTCGCTGTAAGAGCTTTGTTTTCACCGACTTTTCTGCCCCCCGACTCAACCGTGTTCCTCGCCCCGGCCTTCCAGGGGTCTGGTGTAATCACACGACCTAATTTCTTTTCACATTTCTCACAAACCATATTGTTCGTTATGAAAAATAATGAATTTTTTACTTTTTTGAAATATAAACTTGTTTTTTGCTATAAATTCGTAACTTACTGTAATTTAAATAAGTTACAATAGTAGCTAAAGCTAATAAAGCGGTAGTTTGTACGTTAAGTGCTTTAGTAGTATTATAAAATTTATTCCTTTGAAAATACTAAATAAATTCTCCGATGCAAGCAAACAATCGTTATCTTCTTCTTTTAAATGTTATGGTCAATCGTGTAAGCGGTAAATATCTTCTTCTTCAATGAGTTGTCATTTTGACTTTGGCAAAGTTGTCATTTTGCTTTTTTTTATTATAGCTATAAGATAATGGCAATTCACCATAAATGTTTGATCTGATTTTTTAATGTTGGGTAATTTTCCAAAAATATTCAAACTGTGGAAAAGGAAAAATATATTTAGAATAAGAATACTTTATTGCGTAAGCACCGAGACACACATGATCTTAAAATTAAAATACAATATCATAAACTTTAAACCAAAATACAGTACTTACAACAAAAGTTATAACGTATAGTTATCTATAATGATTTTAAAAAATGTAATAATAAATGCGTGTCGCGACACGCGCAAACGGAATTTGCTCAGCTATTAGCTCCTAGAGGATGGAAAAGTCTAAGTATTAGCTACAGGCTGATAGATTCCTCAGCGGGCTGTCAACGGCTCATAATTATATTCTACGTTTAGACATTATTTTATTATCTTTTGAAGTTTTATTTAATGTGAATTAATGAAATAAAATTGTATAGCTAAAAGCAAATTATCAGAGCAAAATGAGGTTTAAAATGATTGTAGAACAGCGAAAAAAATTAATCATACATAAGTAAAAATTTTTTTACTAAAAAGATTTCTTTTTAATGGCTTTATCCTTTCGGTTCAGTATCTTCAATTTTGAACAGGTGTCAATTGTCAAATGTGGAAAAATATAAGAAAAAGATTCAGAAAAATATTAATTTTTCCAAATGAAATTTTTTCCATTACCCAACACTAGATCTGATAAACTTGAAATAATGATGTGTCTGTTACCCCATGCCATGTTTTACTTGTGGAGCAGGGGTCCGGACTTCTCTTGACACGTTTATAGCATATTAATTGAATGATATTCCATATTTTATAAATCTAAAGTAAAAATTTGACAGCAGTCATAGTGATTGCAAATGTTCGAAATAATTTTTGTATATTATTTTTAGGAACTTGACGCTGACACCGCCAATAATAAAAAATAAGTCAATATGGGTCGTATTCCAGAACTCTACTCAATACTCAAGTCAGGACTTGAGTATTTGCAGCGAGCACTGAAAATCATACTCAAGTCCCTGCTATTAGGGTCGTATTTCCAGTGCTTGAAATCATACTCAAGTCTGCTCAAATCCTGACTTGAGCATTGAGTAGAGTTCTAGAATACGACCCTAAGTGTTGAATAATTTTCCTAAAGATTGCTGTAGATAATTAAATAGTACCTATAATAAAACATCAATATTTTTTATTTTACTGAGCAACAATTTAATTTTTCGTCTCAATACACTTTTCATACCTACTTGATTTGACGACCATCAATATATTTTAATCCAATCATAATTTTAGTGTACGTAACATCGAAATCTAAACTTAAATATTTATCTACAAAAATGTGTACAGCATAATACATCAAAACGAAACAAAAGCAAAACATAACAAAGTTATTGCACAATAAACCTAAAGTTGCTAACTCCTAGTTACTTTGTCGTTAGGCGAATTACTTCTTTTACTATCTGATACATTTGTTTGTGGTTCAGCATTGTTTGGGCTCTGTGGTGCAACATTCTGTGGTTCAACATTTTGTGGCTCTTGATATTCTGGAGTATACTCCTGGTTATACTGGGTATTATCATAATTTTGATCACCTTGATAATTCTCTGTTCCGTAATTCTCATATTCACCTTGATACTGAGCGTTAGGATCACTATATTGCTGAGGATACTGTTCATAATTCTCATATTGCCCATCAGCGTAACCTTGTTCATAATTTTGTTCGTAACCCTGAGTTTGATAGTCTGCATGACTTTGATCATACTGTGAAGTTTCATATGGAGTATTTTCATTACCCTGCTCATACTGAGCATTATCTGCAGTCTGTTCATAATTCTGATAGCCTTCCGTATAATTCTGATCAGTTTCTTGGATACTTTCATTAGTCTTTTCGTCACCTACATCTTTGTATGATACGTCATCATTAGTTGGCATTAAACCTTCTTCTTTAGTGATATTAGTATCTAGAGCTAACTCCGGTTTGAGGGAAGCTCTAGAACTTTGCCTGCTTAGTTGTCTTGAGGTGCCTCGACTATTTCGTTCTGCTCTGGTGTCTGAGAACGAGGGTTCGGTGTCTCCGGTGGTGTCAACTCCGAGATGGTCTTGTCTGGTAACGGAAGAGGCAGAGGGGACATTTCGGCCTGTTGAGGACGGGTGCGGGGGTGGTGCTGAAAAAAAGTTAGAGAGGTTACTCACGGTGACTTGTAGCAGCGATGCAAACGCGATGCAGGCGCGATACAGTCGCCCTTAGTCGTTGTCGCGATACAGTCGACCTTGACACAGACGCGCGATTTTAAGCAGCGATGCAACGCCAGTTTGTATCGACGCTTGTTTTGACACAGCACAGCTTTTGACACGACAATTGCATCGATGCAATCGCACGTTTGTGTCGATGCAATCGCGCGTTTGTGTCGATGCAGTCACGCGTATGCATCGATAAGCTAGAAATAGCTGTGTGTAACCACTCTTAAACTGTAAATTTTGCCATATACGACTGTTTGTCTCCATCTAAATAGAATACATAAAGAGAAGATTTTTTTTCGTTTTCCGAAAAGATGAAACGAGGTATTCATTACCTACTTATTATTTAAGGTTCATCTTTTCCAGAATTATTATTTTCTTCGTTTATTTAGTGTATAATAAATTGGTATTAAAATATCTGAGGTAATTTTTTTCTTTATGCAATAAAGCCTTATTTTTTTATTTATTATTTATTTAGATAAGAAACATTAAAATCACGCAAACTTGTTGTCATGTTACTTTACCTTGATAAGTGCTAGGTGTCGCTGCAAGGCTTGACTGAAGCGGCAACGATCGCGTTAGCGTTTCTACTTGACGCTGCACAGTGCCCAGTTCTTCCCTGGATCACACACACACGAAATGTGATACACACAGACACACAAAACACAAGTGCATTCGAAGGAAATAACACACAAATTACTTCATGTAACTGATCGGTAAATAAAGCCTGTAGAGTTTATAAAATATTTTTTAAATTTTTAAACAATTGACGACACCCGTCAATTGTTCCGAATTCGGGCTGGCCAATCGGAGTGCAGTTGTCACAGTACTGATTTGGCAGACTAGAGTTCAAACAAATTAATAACATTTCGTATCTATTTCTGGTTATATATATATACTCGATGAGCAACCGCGAAAACATAAGAACTCAAAATTATTTGACATAGTTTTCTGGCCCCTCAGTTCGCTACTGGTTTAATAATTACCTTAATAGTTTAGACATAAGATCAATAATCGGTTTAGGTATGCAGTGATATTATATGTGCATGTGTAACTTATCAGATGAGCGAGACAAGTAGTTGACAAATAATATATTCCACATAATTGTCAACTTGCGTGGAACTAGAACAGTTGCGAAAAGTACACCTTACTTACTGAATAGTTAGACACCATAATTAATGGAATGTACAACATATTAAATCCTATTAAAACATAGCAATGCACATGCAAACTAACTACCTATGTAAACATGTCCTTCCAATCACTCACTTACCGTTATTATAATTCTACGTCTGTGATATATTACTTAGATCAAATCCCATTTAATACGCACGTTCCAGCACCGCACCCGTGTTTCTATATTGAAAATTGTTATTTCTTTATCCTAGAGTCGAGATTACGAAGACGACGAATGAGGTGCTTTCGCGTCCTGTTAACTAGAATTTGATACTCTTCTTGTCATTTCTTACCTTAGAAGAATCATCATCTGAATCATCAATCTTATCAATAGATAGATCACTTAGATGTCTTGTCAGTTCGCGTACATAGTCATTTGTTTTATAATTGTCATTTTGGTATCTATTTCTATACGTGTAAGGAGTTGATGTGTAGTATGTGCGATCTAAGTCATAAGATGATCGACTATGAGGGTAGCCACTTAAGGGAGTGTAGCTTCTCAATGGTGTTATGGCGGTAGTGCAATATTTTTTATGCGAACACCATAGGTGTCTTAACTTTTTCATAAGCTCAATATTTCGGCAAAGCAAATGTGTTCTGTCGGCTCTGAAAACATTTAAAATTTATTGTGAGTGCCATATGCCATAGAAATATTTTTATGATACCTCTCTTATTATACCTACTTAAGGAGTGATAGAGACGCAATAAAACAAAAACATTAGTATCAAGTTGACTTTCAAAAACCATCCATAAATTTGATCACACACGCTTATAACCTTTCTACATAATAGCGAAAATAGCAGCAGTAGAGCTTCTTGTGGAAGAGTTCATCCAGGGTAGTACTGCCAAGCAGTAATGTCAGCGTTACTGTGTTCCGGTTTGGAAGGGTAAGGGTGCTGGTGAAATTACAGGCACATGGGACTTGTTAACTTATGTCGGAGGGTGACGGGCGTAATGGCAGTGCCCCTCAGATCTTTGCGATTTAAAGCTCTGAGTGGCACTGCAACCATAGACATAGGAAAAAAGGGGTGATTTGGTATGCTCGTTGCCTCGCGTTCATGACACGCCTACAAACATCGCCACAGTGACATGGTGATCGTTGTGCATACAAGATCTCTTGTAAAACGTGAAAATGCCAAGTTGTAGCGATATACCTTGTAAAAGTTGGAGTGAAAACAAACATTTTAAAACCAGTGAGATAACATTCCAGCGGCTATTTGCATTTTTACTTACTATTTCTATTATTACCCAATGATTTCTTTTTGTCTCCATAGAAATTTCTAGATTCAAATATAGTGATGTTCATTGACGATGACTGATGTTTATCGACAATAAATTTTTACTGGAATGTTTGAATTTCTTTCTATGATTTTTGTAATTAAAGTCCCTAAAATATCGAAGCGAAAAGCTTTCAAGCGCCCAAGTGATCGCGTCCTGCGCGGTTCCACTAGCACCCTACCGCGGCAACCGCGAGCAACCGTCACCACTACAGGCGTAAAACGCGCCGTGAAATGTGCTACTAATTTTACATATTTAACTATTACATTCTACAGATGCCGCGGTCCGCGGCAGACGCGGGTGAAAACCGCTCCGTGAGTTGTTAGTGTAACGAAAAATGAGTTTCAGCGCCATCTAACGTATAACAATATAGTAGTTAGCTATTATATACTAGTAGCATTTTTACTAAAACGCCACCTGATGGTGAATGGCTGAACCAGGATAAAAAAATACTGAAATATTTTAATATAACTCTTACTCAAGTGACTGTAAGTTTAATTTTGTTAAATTTTAAAATTGTGTTACGTCGTTTTCACGTTTTAAGCCCTACCCAATCAAAATCTTTAAGTTATAGTAGTAGATAATAGAGAGTAAAATTTGAATTGCACACAAGGTAAAAAGTGGCGACATCGGCACCCGATCTTACATAGCGTCATTACATATCTCCCCATTTTTCCTATATCTATGGCTGCAACTGTCATGGATAGACGTGTAGCTTACCATCAGGTGCACGACTTTTTCGTCCCGTCACTTAATATTATAAAAAACAAATAAAATCCATTCTATCACAAATTTTCCTTCAATTGCTTGGATGTGTATCCATACATACATGGCTTGCGCAAGTTTTCTCGCATTGCTGAACGCCTGTGTAGCGGGACTCTACTTATTCTATATAGGGATTTTATAGGGATGCAAATCTATGAATGAAAGAAAATGGAAGTTATCTTCCACTATTATTACTTTTTATGTCGGTATTATTATTGAAAGAGGAAGAGTAGTCATATTTAATGGACACTGAAGATTTACAAGAAACAATTTATGGATGGCTCAGGAAAACAAATACTTGGTATCAAATGCATAGCACACATTTTATGAAGCTAATTTTACAATTCTGAAAAATATATTACTACTAATGTAACATGATGCAGATTAATTGGATCAAGTAAAAGACAATTAAATATGGGCTATAAAATCAATATTATTTAAGTGATAGATTTAAAAGAAAAAGCATCTTTAAATTATCAATGTGATCAAAACTAACTCTGCCAAAGACTGAATTCAATTTTTATTCTAAACAATTATAATCATTACCCATTTTTGCATACAATACTTAGTTATTATTTATGCACAAGAAGCATTATAATACGCATAATACTTAAACTATACGTGTTACATGGGCATACATTTTGATCTTGTGGCAGTAACAGCAAAATGCTGACGCGCCACGCGTTTGCGCAACTGACAAATGCGTATCCATCCGTATACAACATCGAAATAAATAACTTTATTAACAATCGAAACCTAATTTTATGATAATAATAAACTTAACATTTTTATAAGTAACCAGCCAATAAAGCCTTGTAACTGTTTTTTAAAATAATATTATTGCACAAACATTTCGTAACAATTGCACAAAAAATACAATCACAGACGTTAACTAAAGCAACCTAATTTGACTGAAAGCACATTTTTAAAGTTCTACCAACCCATTGGCCAATGGGTTATTAAAATTACCTACTAATTTATCTTACATTTAGTTACTACTCAAAAGGTTACTATTCGTTAATCTAACAAAATTAGATAAGATCATTCCAAATCTTCCCATAAGTGAGAGCTGTAGCAATTAAGAGAATCTAAAAGATAGACAAGACAGCGAAGCATAGGGACATTAGAAAGCAGCTACGCTGTGATCATTGGCGTTTCTGGCAAGAGTGTCAATTGTGAAAAATCCAGTTCCAATACAAGTTTCTCCATTTATAGTAAATCGCAACTAATAAAGTTAATCAAAACATCGTGTTTCATATTTATTGCGCTCTCTCATTTACTTGAGCAGTAATAGGCACGCACTGCTCTCAGGACTCTAATCAAGATCCTACAGCGTCTAAAATTAAACATTTTAACTGATTTATCATCTTAACTTTAGTTTTTAAGACTTTTTTAATACCTAAATACTCCTTATAAGTGAGTTATGGTAAATATTTAGTCTAATTCTTTCGACTATTGCTCGCTTTATACATATCTATTTAAGCCTTTGCATTTTATCTTATGAACCTTCTGGCTCAATGTTCTCATTAATAAATTCAGCTTCTGTTATAGGAGCTTTCGTTTCACTGTCCTCTACGTTTTCTGTTTCTTCTACTGTGGTTTCAGAATCCTCCATTTCTTTAATTGGTTCAATGTCATTAGATTTTGTGATTTGTTCATCATTTTCTGGGTTTTGTGTTGGTTCGGTTAACGGATTTTCATTTGTAATTCCAGAAGTTTGTTCAGTTTCGCGATTAATGGTATCTTCTTCTATATTCTCTACATCTGATTTTTGAACATTAGGTATATCTTCAATTTTTACTGTTGCTTCTGTGCTAAGTTCTTCGGTTTCTTCTAATTTTTCCGTTTTTGCCATTAATTCCTGATTGTTATTTTGTGTCAACTCATTTTGTGCTTCAATAGTTTCTATATCATGTTTCAATACCTGTACGCTATCGGCCGTGACTTCCATACTAAAACTATTCTTGACACCTTTAGTTTCATCTGCGTGGACAGCAATTTCTTCGACTTGTAATTCACGTCTTTTCTTTTCCCTCTTTCTAGCCTTTGGTATCAACTTTACACTTATATCAACTTTGATAGGCTCCTTTTTCTCTCGTAAAAAGGGCTGTTGAATCATCAACGGTAAATTAAATACCTTTTCTCCTTTAGCCTCGAGATCCGGATTGGTCGTTAACGGGCCAACGACGATTGGCGCGTAATTATTCGACGAATCGGACTCTTTTACGGAGCGGCGCTTGGTACTCGCTATTGGTTGGTCTCGGGATCTTGAACGGTCGCGTTGTGTTCTGATTGGTTCGTCTGCATGGCCGCGTCTCTGCGCTCTGCCTGCCACCAATGAAAACACAGCACGACGTTAGGTTGTTATTTTTGAAATTTTGAAATATGGGTAATGATTACAATATCTTTCAGAAAGACACATTCATTTTTAACCGGCTTCAAAAAAGGTGTACTTTTTGTCAGCATATTTGAAGCCGACTTTCTCTCTTCATATAAATAAAATCTTAGGAGCTTAAAAAGTGCAATTTATGCTGCGAAATTAAACAAAAAATGATCATGCAAATAAATCTCAAAATTATTCGTACTTGTGCCTACGATTTGCGTCGTCGAGCTTGTCTGTGAGCAATCGACATTCTCCAGTGAGTTTCTCCATCAGACTGTTTTGTGATTGAATCATGGACTCCAACTCAGCCACCGTTTTAGCTGTGGATTCAAATTTTGCCTTGTCTAAGACTCAAAACACGTAATGCTAGTCGTATTGGTAGAGCCGTAGGGCGGATTCCACCGGCATTATTCAATCGCTCTAACGTGGAGGCTAGCAGCGATAATGCGGATAGACAGCTATTTTAAATTAACTGTTAACAAATTCACTAAACGCCTTACAGGTCTACCGTTGCCAACTGTGTTTCACGCCTTAAACTCCTATGATATATGATAATGATAAACAATCTGATGAATAAACTATTGAATCTCTTGATAAGCCCTTTCTTAACATTGTCAATGGACATGCAAGCGTAACGGATGAAAGGGTAAAATATAAATGTTTTGAAATTTCTTAAACTAATGCTGAAAACACTGGGGTCGATTGGTGGAAGCAGATTAAAGATGGCGCTAATCAGCAGTCATCAAATATTTTACTCGTAGCATATCGTACCTTTCGAAAAATAGTATTGACAAGATTTGTTAACAGAACAGGTGGTGGTTTCAATGATGAAGATTACATTTTGAGAGCTAACTACACAGTGACACTTTGATAGCTGCCAACCCCTTTCAAAACATCAATAGTTTACCCATTAGATGAAAAGAAATTCCCAAATTTAAAACCAGTTGAACAATATTCTAAAGAACATCCTTACGAAATGTGCTAAGTGATATTACATTGATTTTACTTACCATGTTTATTTTCAATGGATTCCAGAGCTGAAGATAGCTCTTTGTCTTTCTTCTTCTCGGGTGAGAACGGTGTCAAGTTACGCATGTTAAGCTGCGAAAAATTCAAATATATTTAATTTTTTTTTTTAAAAACAAATGTTCCAACACAAAGGCTGTTTTAAGCAAGTACGGCATTGTAGCACTACACCTACCGAAAATTAAATTCTCTATTTTAACATAACCATGCCGATTAGTCGAAATAATGAACTACAATAGGTCGCTAAAAACACAGGTGCTCTAATACGTAGTCTATCCTGTTTAAAGAACTATTGGTCTTACTACGCATGACGAAAATGGTAGTAGAAACTTCAGTAGGGAAAAAGAAATATATAACATTAACATTATTTATTAATATAACACTCTTCAAGAGGAAATGATAAAACCAGCCGTGTTGTTATAGATACCTCTTTCTCCAAAGCAGAGATCTGCTCAGAAAGACGCAAGTTTTCCCGACGAGAGTGGACCAAGTCGGCATCAGCCCGGTCCAGACGTTGTCGAAGTGACTGGATCTAAAATTGAAGCGTGAGTTGATAACGAAAATGAAAAACATTGGGTCGAAACACAAAACTGCGAAGCGACGAACTGCGATGCGACGCCGCATCGCAGAAATCTACGAACTCGCACGACGCATCGCCCATTTTTGCGACGTTAATCGTCTTTGTGTTTTTCTTATACTTTCTTATCAATAACAGCAGTGCAACACTCTTTTCACGATCCATTGCTCCTAGTTTAAAAAATATGTTCAGTACGGTTTATTGACCGTCGAGAGAATGGTTACCCGAACCGTGGCAGTGAGACGCCTTGCCACACCAAATGGCATCGCACAATTCGCGTCACAGTTTTCTGCGTGGCGAATTCGCATCACGCTGATTCGCAGTTTTGTGGTTCGACCCTTTAAGCGACTCAAAAAAAGGAACTTCAGTTTTTCTTTTGACTTTCTAGTCATAGCGCTATCTATGAGAAATCTATGAAAGATTTATCACGCAGTTAGTACCTTTACAGTTACCAGTCCTGGCGAGAGATGTCGCTATTCGCTGTATTTTACATTTTTTTAAATTGATATTCAATTATTTTTTGTGTAATTACTCCACTACCTTGCTATAATTAGTAATCACTCAGAAAAAATTCCTTCGATCTGGCCGGATTCGAACCGACGTCTTCTAGCTTACCGTGCCAGACGCCATACCAACTAAGCAAAACTTAAAAAAGAAAAACTTCAGTTTTTCTGACGCGCTGTAGATATACAGTAGTAGATATATCATTGAATTCATTTTAACAAAATTCTTTAAAAATTGAAAGATAAATTGAAAGCTACAAAACAATGATGATATCTATCACGGAGATGGAATAATACGTCCAATTTGAACAAACAAATACGCTCTGTTTATATGTATGTAGTAAACATAACATAGAATCTTACCTCAGAGTTAAGACGATTAGTGTCATGTTTTGACTGCCTCTGGTGTCTTTCGATGGCTAAGCGAGCACTCGCCAATTCTTCTTCCAGAGACGCCTTCTCTGCGTATGCCTGGGCCAAATCTGCTTGCAGGGTGGCTGTGGAATTGTATTTAAGATTTCTTTTATTGGTAATAAAAGAATATGGACTGGTATTAACCAGTACCAAAATATTCCAGGAGTATATTAAATAGAAATATGGCAGGGATGTCTTCACGACAAACAAAATATTACAATTACAAGAAGAAATTAGTGCCATTCGTACTGAGCATACCATGTCCGGATTTAGAGATCCTAGGATGAACCATCAACTAGGGTTTTGGGCCACCTATTGTCAAACTTACATGTTTTGTTTTTAAGCTCCATTTTCAGTTCTTCAATGGCAGAATTCTTCATGGACAATTCGCGCTTCAGGTCGTTCTCTTCACGACGCTGACGTTCCAGCTCGAGCTACAGATAAATAATATAAAAAGTTCTATAAATTCAGATAATTATTTGCTCTTGCAATAAACAAACGCAGTTTTCAGTTTTGATGCAATGGTATTAATGTTTGTTTCAGATAATTATCAAATTGTTAACAAATTTTGTAAAAATCTACGTCATAATTCCAGCCAGGTTCTTGTCATCACATCTGTTTTCGTGTTTCTATATTATGAATCTAACATTACTGAAGGAAGTTTTCTGTTGCTATCTACCTGTAACTTGGCAACGTTGTCGTACTGCACTGCAAGATCGTGTTGCAGCTCATCGAAATGAGCATTGTACCGCTGCTCAGCGGCGCTGCGTTCCTGAATAGCACGACGAGCCCCTTCACCAGTTAGCTCGCGAATCTTGGAACGCTCTTTTGCTAACTCGTCCTGTAACAAACGGTTTTTTAATTGCTTTTTTTTAATCAAGGTTAGCTACCTTATGCAAGGTGCATTCTCTAACCTTGAGTCTGCGTATTTCAACTTCAAGATTGTTCCTCTCCTCCCGTAATTGTTGTTCGACAACATCAGTACTTCGTCGATACTTCCCGTCGTCGCCTTCTCTTTGCTCTAAGGAAAGCTTCAGCTTGGATATCTGTGATTCCAATGCTGTCTTGTCCCTAATTCATAAAAGTATATTAAATAAATATGTTCTTATATCGAGTTCTTAGGTTTTCGCGATTGTTACACATAGGAAATGAAACTATTTTTTCGGATTTAAATCGCGTATATTTGTTTTTTCAAACAAACCAACGATTCGGGTCTTTTACAGTTCCATGGTCCGGATAGTTAGTTTTACGCATGTTGCAACTAGAATTATCATTGTCACGGCACTTATTGAGAAAACTTCACACGTTTGTTTAAAGTCTTCGAAACGCTGGATTTTATTTGTAACGTCCACTCCGTACTGGTGTAAAGAGCGCGAAACGTTGGTTTGTTTGAAAAAACAAATTTACGGGATTTAAATCCGGAAAAAATAGCTTCATTTCCTAAATGTGTTATTAGTTCTGACAACGCGGAACCCACACGACTATCATTCTGACTACATATTCAAAGCCTACCGGGAAAAATGTTCCATTCATTCAATAAAGAATTCATGTTTAGGCTAATAACTTCGGATTCATAATATCTGGGACACTAGCACAACAGTAAGCACAATGGATCCTATAAGATCGAAATATTAAAATATTTAAAGTCAAAGCACTACGAACTTTTCTATAATTAATTACACTCAAAAGATACCGATTTACTGACCTTTGCAAATTATCAATTTGGCGTTTGAAACCATCAAGGCACGTTGAGTCAACAAGCCCAGAGGCCAATTTCCTTTTGTTCTCGTTATTTTCATCCTGAAAATATTTTTTTATACAGTTGTATATCTTTACTTAAATGAGCGATTAATGAAAACAATTGACATTATTACGCCTTTACTTTCACTCGAGTAAGCTTAAATGAGTATCATGCAATCTTGGAAAGTCGAAATTTGGAATTTTTACCTGAACCTTCTTGAGGTCAATCTTTGCCTGCGTCAGCTGTGCCTCCAATTCCGATATGCGGGACTCAAACACGATGTTAGGACCTTCCAATTTTGTAGAACGAGATTTTGATGTCCTACGCGCTTTCGGAGATCCCTAAAACACACCCTTCTTAAGGCAGAGAAATGAAATTCCACACAGAATAGTTAAAACGACGTAAAAAGAACGGCTTTTGTCGATCGGCTTTTGAACCACTTCGAAATACTCGTATTATCTGTCATTTCTTATCAGTTTCAACTACCGTTCTTGTGGAGAAAATGTATAAAATTTAGATCTGTTAACTCAAGAGAAAAAGTTCTTTGTAAACACAGGCTATAGTTTGGATACAGTCATTTTTATTATTTTATTTATCATTTAATTCAGATCACATAACCTATACTTATAACATATACTCGTACCTAAGGACTAACGGACATATAATATAATATAAAAGTAATATAAATATAAATTTATTGACTGTTTGTGCGTGTTTAATACAGTTTGTATGTAAGTATATATATATCTAGCAATTAAGATAGGAGCGATGCCAATGTTGACGATTTTAGTAATGATAGATTTCAGATCTATCCGACAGAACCATCTCACCTTATTATCGCTATCAAATCCAGTGCTATCTCCCAAATCATCGAGCTCATCGGTTTCCGAACCTGCATTGTACGAATGGAACATCCGAGAAATCAGTTTGTTCTTCTGCGCTTCGTGCAAGTGCTCGTTCTCGGTGATTACTTCCTTCACTTTCCCAAGAAGATTGTTCAGCTCGTCCTACGATAAAATGTTTAAGGTTTATGTGGTGCGTAACCATACACGCGTATAATCAAAAAGATTTTTATTTAATCTACAACTTTTTAACGAGTCACAGTTAACTTCAACTGCGTTCCATTAGCGCTTTTGAATCAACAGACCCAATCTAAAGGTGCACTTGAGATCTGATCTCAAACTTTAAAACTTTTGAGGAAACGGCGGTGTATCATGTATGTTTTGAACTGCCTTCTTAGCCGAACGGTGACCATGTTGGTCTGCCACGCAGAGGTCCCGGGTTAAATTCCCGGGCCGGATAAATATTTGTATGGCCTAAACTTATTTCTCTCGTGAGTTTATGTGTAATTTGTAATTGTCTATGTGCGTGTCCATGGCACTCGCGATACAAGGTTACCCTAGTACGGTGCTTAGAGTGCACAGTAGAATAAAACAAGTAGGGTAACTCCGTACAAAATAACAACGCGGCTTGTATGTGTGCGCAACCGCCGCGCGGCTTTGGTCGGACGCACACGCGTACAAATGCGCGTTGCGACGACCATTGTTGTGCTACGCTAGAACACCCTTAAATTATGCATAAGGTTAAAAGGTCTTAACCAGATGATTTTAAAACGTAATCTATAAACAGAAAACAATTTGGATCTGAAGACGATTATGAAATTGAAAAGAAAAAATAAATGTTTATTGTTTTATATCCAAATTAAAGAAAATTAAATGAAATTTAAATTACAATAGAATTATACACTGAAATGTAATGTCGAAAGGTATCACACGCGGGGAATTATTTCCCAGTCACCAGATTTTGTAAATAATTTACGTCTTAAAAACTGATCGATTAACTAAATAGACTATTTTAAAATCCAAGTTACTTACAAATCGTTCAGAGTTTTTATACAACCAGTAACCTTAAGACTCAATTTACATTGTCGCGAAACGGAATGGAAGCGAAGTTTTGTAACCACAGTATAATGATCGTTATATATCAATTGTCTAACGTACAAATTAAGGGGACAACCGTCCGAACCAATTACTGTCAAATAAGTAATACTCGACTAAATCAATACAATGGCAAGTATGAAGCTTCATACGAGTCATGCGTCTTGTAAATTGGTCGAGTATTGCTTAATTCGCGCGTCTTCCATTTTTTGCGCAGTCTCGAGAATTCCCACAGCTACCGTATCATGACTAGTTGTACATTACACAATTGACATAAAGTCCATTATGCTATAGGAACCTAGGATTTATAAAACGCGTGCGCAAGCAGTTCTCTGATATAGAAAGCTTAAAAATGGTTTCTTATGCCTTCGTACGTAGTATTTTGGAATTTGGTAGTATCGGGGCGACCAGATGTTAGGAACATTGAGCACATATAAAAAATTTTCATAATAAATGTTCATGTTGCAGCCATCTTGAATACGCCACCCAGGTGTAGAATCCTCATTATGATGTGTATTCCGCACGAATAGAAGGTATCCAAAAGAGATTTCTACGTTACTTCTAATATAACTGCCTCCGTGGCCGAACGGTTACCATGCCGGACTGCCACGCAGAGGTCCCAGGTTCGATTCCCGGGCCGGGAGAAATATTTGTATGGCCTACATTTATTTCTCTCGTGAGTTTGGGTGTAATTTGTGGTTGTCTATGTGTGTGTCCATGGCACCCGCGACACAGGGTTTCCCTAGTGCGGGGCTATGTTGAGTGTGAGCGTTATTATAAAAAAAAAAAATATCGAGCTGATATATTTCTGCCAGATTAGGAGACTAGGTGTCGCAAATTTAACTTTCTGCCATTATACAAAAAGAGAGAAATGGCTGATTTGACTTAGTACCTAACTAACATAGCAAACGGCACTGTCAATTGCCCTGAATTCCTTGAGCAAATAGAACTACGCACAAGCAACGTTGCACTGAGAAATCCCATCACACTTTCCGTTCTTAGGGTTAGGAGAAATTATAGACAAAATGCATTTTTAAACAGAATGTCTCGCTCATTTAACTCCTTAGTTAATAGATATGGTGAGGTGGACTTTTTTTGGTTCAACACCAGTACAAGTAAACTAAAACGCTTACTCAGTGATATGTTTTTTTTTTTTTCAAATATGTAGATACTATAAATGTTTAAAGTTATTAATTTCGTTATTTAAAAACTTACTTTGTAGTTTGTTTCTATCACTTTAAATAATTATCTGTGGAAACTTTTAATTAGCCCTCAGCATACATGCACTGGCCTGTCAGACGTGTATTATACTTTAATCTATTCTTGTTACCTAGCTGTAAGTTTTCCCAAAATAATGAAAATAAAATAAAATAAAACTTCAAAATTTATGAGTAGAAAAAAGTTCACCACATACGAGGAACCTCATCATTTTAATTTTTAATTTTGAATGTATTTTGCTGCAATTTTACAAATGCTATTATGACTAATTTTTTTCTTTTTCTTTTAAAATTTCTAATTTTTATTATTATTATTGTTACTTTTGAATTTACGTTCAATGTCTAAACAAAGTTTTTTTTTACAAACAAAGTCTAAACTCACTATCATGCCATTTTTTCGGTGATATCCTATAATTGGCAACACTTATTGGTCATGTAAATTAGTTTTTAAGTTCTACAATGTATGCTGTTGAATGTCCTTTATAAATAAATAAATAAATACAATTTCGTTAAAAACTCATATCCATTCCAATTATTTTTTTTGTATAATATCAAATCACGGGACGAACAACTCGTGCACCTGATGCTAAGCTACACGCCTGTCCATAACAGTTGCAGTGCCACTTAGAGCTTTAAATCGAAAAGATCTGAACCACAACTTATGTCACCCTGAGACATAAGTGGACAAGTCTCATGTGCCCGTAATTTCACCAGCACCCTTACCCTTCAAAACCAGAACACAGTAATGCTGATATTACTGCTTGGCGGCAGAAATAGGCAAGATAGCAGTACGAACTCTTTCACAAGGAACTCTATTGGTATTAAAAGGAATCTATGTCAATGTAAATGGTCTCAGTTAATAACAGACGTACCCTGCAGTACTGGCTCTCCCGTTCAAGCTGCTCAATGTACTCTTCCTGCTTCTGTATGAACGCGACCACGTCAGGGTTGGTGCCACCTGACAGGTCCGCTGCTGGCGTCGAGGTGGGCAATGGCGGAGCTGTTGAAGATTTCACTATGTTTATATTAATTGAAGACCCGTAATCTTCAAAGAGTCAAAGAGTTATTTAAAAACATCACCAGATAGCAGTTTCAAGCCGCCATAGACAAAGTAGGTAGTACCTACATTACTTACCAGTAGTCGTATTATGCTGTCCATAGGTATTATTCAGACTGTCGGCGTAAAGAGTCGCGTACTTTGCTGTAAGCCGAGGACGATGCTTATACTCCAGGAGTGGATACGTTGGGGAGAGGTACTTCTTGTCCAGATCGGCATCCGATTCGTCCAAATTCTTGATGGATGCTGAACCGCCGTAGCTACGGATCTTTGGGTACAAATGATTTTAAAAAGGAGCTATTTCCCAATTACCGATATATTACAAACATCTATTACCAAGTTATAAGTTATAAGTAACATCTAGACAGAGCAAAACTTCCCACTATCACCCCTCCACACACACACACACACACAAACACACACAAGCCGTCATACAAACAAATTCAATTACACAATGATCTAATGATTGTAAAAGACAATTTAAAGTCGTATAATCTTGAAGATATGATTAATAATTAATAATATGATTGTTTTTAATGTGAATTTTAGTTGAAAGATTTGGTATTTCATTTTTTTTTTCTCTTTTGTTTTTTCAAATCTTAGTATTAATTGAAAATTTGACTGTTGTATAACATCTCAGAAATAGCTTAAGTAACGTCAATATAAATGTTAAAAGGTCAAACTTTATAATTGGCTTTATAAGTTTTTAATCTACAATTGTATAGAAGATGTAATAGCTGTTAAGTTTGCTTATAAATAAATAAATAAATAGATAAATAAATAAATAAATACTGCCTAGTTACATAACTAACGTACTAACTACATAACTAACATTACATAACTAACGTACGATATCGAAGTTGACATTTCCCATTATATGTATATATTCGACTGCATTTTTTTATGTATGTTACGCATGTTACGCGTTAACTCCAGCATTTCCGAACCGATTTTGATGATTCTTTTTTTATTAGAAAGAGAGTACCTCAGTATTTGTCCCTTTTAAATTTTTAAGAAAATATTCCACTTCTAAGGGTCGCAAACTAGGGGATAAATCCGGTTTCGCGCTCTTTCCGGTAACCATTTTCAATAAAACTTTGCAAATAGATGTAATTCCATAAACTTTGGAGGTCGGTTTTTATAGTAGGTCCTCTGTACTGAGATTATTTATATAAACAAATGTACATAAGTGATTTAGATTAAAAAAAATGTTTCAATTCCAATGTACGTACTGCCCTCCTTGTCATACATAACTAACTCATTTGCATTTTGGTAACTTCGAATTTAAGTTTTTGTTCTTGAAATATAACAATTACGCTGATTTTGCTTAACAATAAAACTAGAACCAAATAAGATATAAAAAGAAAACCTTGTAGACGTCGAGTATATAACTAGAAATAGAGACGAAATAAGGGCCATCCATCCCTATGGCAACTCATGAGGCAAATGGTCCATATATCACTTTTAAATATCAATTCTCGTTTGCTGAAAGCACAAATTAGAAAGCTGAAATAGTACAGCGCGAACAACTGACCTGCGTGTACGTCTCAGTATATTCCAAAATATTGTCTATTTATTTGTAATAAAGATAATATCTCTAACTATGGGGGACTGTTCTATTCGGTGGTGTGGGAAAAACAGTAAAACATGTAATTACAAAACAAAAGGAATCACATTTCGTCTGTAATTAAATATGTAATTTTTCAATTTCTATTATAGCAAAGCTCAAATGAAACGGGTCGATTTGAAGTGAAACAATTGACGACACCAGTCAATTGATTCGAATTCGGCCTGGCCAATCAGAGCGCTGTTGTCCCGTAATTATATGACAGAATAGTTTTCAAACAAATTAAATAACATTTCGTCTCTATTTCTGGTTGTATACTGGATGGTTGTAGATCTCGTTTTGCTGATTCTAGGTGTGTTGATGTCGCTAAATTTCTAATTATTTACTAATAATTTAGCTAAACATGTCGGTTACATTAGTTATGATAAGAAGGGCAGTATGAATAAACTGCGTTTCAGGTGTTCGCCGCCATGTTTTAAATTAATGTTTTCTTTTTTATTATATTTTCCATAAAAAATAAAGTTTTAAAAAATAAGCGAACGTGCCGGATTCGAACCGACGTCTTCTAGTAAACCGTGCCATCAGACGCTATGACAACTTAAGCCACGGAACGAACCAGCGTACCTAAGTTTTTACTAAACCTTTATATTAATAATTATAACAAACTAGTGGAGTAATTACAAAAAAATAATTGAATATCATGGTTGTCAAACAACCTGACATTCAATAAAACACTTAAAAAGGATCATCCTATTTAATTTTCACATACAAACAATTGCTAAAATCATTACCATTCATTTTCGTATCTACGAAATTAGTTTAATATAGATATTAGGTATATTATACATTTCTGTTCTGTGCGAATATAGGTACACATAATGAAATTAAACTATCATTTAGATTTTAGTTAATCTAAACTTATAAATTTGTTTCTATAAATGGTTTTTTTTTAATATAATAAATCTTTTTTCTTTGTCTTGTTTACAAAATATACAACATACATAGTATAGTATATCGTACATTGACTTTTTATTTGTAAGTCAATGATATCGTAACTAAAATATTACTTACACTTGGTGCATAATTCCCGGATAAAAAGTATCTCAGCTTCGATACAGCTTCTTTGTAAGCCAGTTCTGTGTAGTCCGGAATTCTCTTCAGGCCATAGTCAGATAGTTTTGTTGGCCGCCTATACGAACAGTAATAAGGATAACTCATATTAAAACATTGAATAGACTAGAACACCTAGCCGTTACAATAAAAAATAAAAACTTTAAAAAAATTACATCTTAAATTTTATTTAAAAAAATAAATGTTTCCAAATTAGAATTGCGCATTGCGCCACGATTTTGATTGCAATGAGAATTTTGTGGTTTTCGTATTGATTACACAGTTACCTTAGCAACGGTTGCTAACATAAGCAATTCCTTAGCAACGGGATAGTCGGTGACAAAAGTAGCGAGATCAATAAATGTTACATTAATATCTTTGATATCGATCGACCTCTTATGTCCCGCACTGCTGAGCACGGGTGTCTTTCAAAGAGAGGGAAAGAGGGAAATATAAATAGTCCATCATATTGGCTCTATAGGGTCCACTGAAAATCAGCGTCACAGTCTTTAATCAACTGTGACAGTAGCTGAGTGGATCCTTTTACATGCGTCATAAGCCGCACACATGACATTTATTCAAATTTAGTTGACTGTTTAAAATTGGATTATGTTTGCTTCGTTGTTGTTTTTTTTTATTGTTTTACTATTTGTTTTACTTTTGCTTTGTCTTTTTTTACTTCTTTCTGTATATTTTTGTGTTGTGGAGTTGTAATAAAAGAATTCCATTCTACATATATGTATAGAGGGTTGAATTTTGCAAAATTTCTTGTAAATTGTATCAGTGAAATCTATTTGTAATCTCAGAGATTTTAGATAGGTAGACTCTCTTGGGGATCAGAGCCACAATATTGCGTTTAGAAGTCGCGCGTATGCGCCGGTTCGGTTAGACCCAAATAAGATTCCAATGCAGTACGTATATAACATAGTAGTAAAACATTATGATACCTTATTATATAGAAAAAGATGACAAAACTATAGATTTTATTAATCTATAGTTTTGTTATCTTTTTCTTTTTTCACATATTTCTATATGTTTCACACATTTTTATATATATTCTGCATATTTGTACGAGGAAAATTATATAATTGAATATTTTTCCCATAAACTTACATTGGTAAGCTTTGACCTAACACATCTTAGGTCGAATTTCAAATTCAGCGTCACGTCCCGCATAATTGTATTTTTATGCTAATTTGAAATTTTATGCTCATCGCTTGAGGAATAGCCCAGTGAAGCCAACAAAGATTAGCTCACTCCCCTCATTACACTTCGAAAATAATAATGTAAAGGTAGTAAAAAAAAACAATATTTTTTTAAATAAATAATTATCATCCATTACTCCTTCTGGCAAAAGTCGCTAATTTCACTGACCATTGTCTTTCCCAAATCTCGATAGTACATTAAGGTAATGTCCATTAAGTTAATGTCCATTAAGTACTTAAAAGGCATTTAATTCCGTGTGAAATATTTCTCTTCACTTAAACCGTTTTTTTTTCGACGTTCGCATTTTTCTTCTCGACTGTTAAGGGAATTATTTAATTAGTTGCATAGAATGTTTGCACAACACTTTAGTTTCTTATCTCACTAATTTGTTTAGCTTTTATTTTTATAAATAAAGACATCAAATATTTTAATTCAAAATACGAAACCCGACAAAATTTTAATTTATTGTAAATTAAAACTTTTAGCTGAAAAAATGAGAAGTTTTACGGAATTTTACACGTATTTCTATCTCTTGGTCGAGGTCAGACATTGAGTTAATTAATTGAAGTAAATTCAAGCCTGCTTACCTAATTTTAGGGCGCCTCAATTTCCCGTTCATTTCTTTATCTGATCCAGCACTAGAACCGCTCTTAGCTCTGTATCCGGCTGACTTAGGTTTATTCAAGTAACTGGTCGATCCCATACCTAACCAACTAATAAAAACCTCACTATACCCTTAGAAAATCTGTTTTCATAAATCTATTCAAACGCTCTTGAATTTAGAACAAAATTAAAAGCAAATAGTTCAAAAATTCGAATTTTTCGAACCCATGACGCGGCAAGGAAGGAACATTGACGGAAAAAGAATGAAATTTGAAATTAAGAACTTCGGATGCTTCCGGAATTTCATCTCTTTCTCCCTTAAGAGGGAAGCGTATAGAACTGTCTCTTTCTTAACGGAAAAATTTCTTCAGGAGCGTATAGTCCGAGAACAATGTGAACTATGAACTAACAACAAAAACACTATTTTTAAATTTTTAATGTTAATAAGAATATTGCTTGGATGCCCGTGTCTTCAAGGAGTTTTTTAAAACTAACGCCTTCTGTATGGCTGGCAAATATTCTCCCAACTAACTTACCGCAGCTTTCAGGCACCTATCTAGAAAATACTAGCTATGAAGCAAGGAATTGTTGGAGAACATTTAAACAAAACATTGTAAAGTTTCCAACATTATCTAGTCAACGCGGTGAACTCTTGCAAAAAGAGTTGCACAAGATGAAAGCTTCAAAGCGTTAATTTATACGATGCAAAGAAAATGCAGGGAAACCATGTCGTTCAGAACAATAATAACACAACCAGCTAAACAAAAGAATACGCATCATTGTATCAATCCGCATTTACGTGGAGCGCACTAGAAGTTTCTACACTACTACTAAATGTCGTAATGACTTTTTAAATATTGTTTATATAAGTGGCCAGTTCCGGAAACTTATAGTGCGCCCTATGTATCAGTCCATCAGCCAGCCAGCAGTACACAGCAGACCGTCGCTAAAAAGGTAACTATAAACTATCAAAGACTGTCTACATATAAATTTCCAAAATCGTGACATAAATTGAGTATTATTGATTTGTTTTAGTTTGAGAAATAACTCCACTAGTTTGTTACAATTATTAAATACAAAGATCGAGCACAAAGAAAGCCGTTGTAGAAAGCCGAAAACTGTATGCAAAAACCTATAACAGACACAGAAGAAATTCGTCGACTTATTAACTCGATTTGTAGCTTAGTTGGTAAAGCAATGGAAACGGAATCACGTGGTCGCAGGTTCGAGTCCTTTTGGGTCGAAGGATTTTTTCTTTGTAGACTACAAAGAAAAAATCCTTCGACCCAAAAGATCTTTGTATTTAATAATTATAAATTGAGTATATTAGTTACAACCACCATACTTATTCGTTTTTAATTTTCTTAATAACAGGGAAAATCCTACACTTAGCTCCTGGCCTACGCGACAGGCAGTGTCTAGCGTGCCATCCTCCCTCGTAAGGAGCCCGATCACGCGATCTCTTCACAATATACGCCGCTACAAATCATATCCGTTTTATAACATCAACTCCCTTACTAAAGCCGTGAAATAACATATACTTCTATTGAAGTCTTCTTTTGATTAATTTTTTTTAATATATAGATTTTTTCTTAAACCGTCGTACAGTCCTTGTGTTCCCAGTTTAGATTTATTGATTATGAATTTTTGAAATTTACTTTTCGATCGTGTTTTCAAATCAATTCATTTTCTTTTGTGTTTTATTTTAAAACATATTTGAAATACAAATCTCGTTCAAGTCTAAAAGGCTGTAGCTTCAACATGAGTAAAGTTCCACAAGTCTTCACCGAGTAAATGGAATAAAACCTATGCCATGTTCCGGACTACCATCATTAATACCATTATATAGTCCTATTTCAGAGTCAAGAAGGGTGACTTTAGTTACAATAACATTATATAGTCTACCGCCGCTACTATTTTCCACATTCCAAACTTCAGAGAAACGTAAAAACTTGATTTTTTTTGAAGTTAGTGTACTTTAAATTGATGAGACAGGCATTGCTACGATGGTGTGATGCCTATCTATCCTAATTAAATTATTGAATGCCACTGCATAACTTTAAGGGAATATTAACCTTACATCTGAACGTTACCGCAAATTTTAAATGCACGATCGAACCATTGAACGACACAGTGTATTGAAAAATATGTAGAAAGTAAGTGGGTTAACAATGCAATCGTCAATACCATAAAATTCGAATTCATCGGAGCTTAAACCGTAGAAGGTAAGAGGTAGACGTCGAGTATAAATCCTGAAATAGCAATGACATATGGACCATCCATCCCTGGCAACTCATCAGCCAAATGGGCCTTATATAATATCAACCCTCGTTTGCGCTGAAATCACAAATTAGAAAGCTGAAATAGTCCTACAACTGACCTGCGTGTACATCTCCGTATATTAAAAAAATATTCTGTGTTTATTGTAATAAAGGGGGACTGTTCCATTCGATGGTGTGGGAAAAACAGCAAAACATCTAATTGCAAAACAAACGGAATCACATTTCATCGGTAATTAAATATTAAATATATTAATTTTCAATTTTCGTCCATTATAGCAAAGCTCAAGTTAAACTGGTGATTTGAAGTGAAACAATAGATGACACCCGTCAATTGTTTCGAATTTGGGCTGGCCAATCGGGGCGCAGTTGTCACCGTAACGATTTGGCAGAATAGTTTTCTAACAAATTAAATGACATTTCGTCTCTATTCCTAGTGGTGGTAGACTACTCTCTGTCCTATGTTCAAACTGTGGCCTCGTTAATTTATAGCTATTTTGCGAATTTATTGCTTACATGATGAGTTTCGTACAGGTACCTATTGCGATCGACTAGGACAAAGCAATACCAATTTAATTTGAATAAAGACAAACTGCTGTTCCTTTACATAAACCCCTAGCCTAAACCTAATGGGCTAAAATTGCGATGCTATTACTGAAGGAATAACATTTCGAGGGAATTTGCATATTGCTACAAAGTTCACAAACCTCTTTAAAGTTGAAATTGGTGCCCAATCGACTACAGTTCATCAAACGTGGTAAACAATATCTTAAGAAAACACCCATGCTCAACAGTAAGATGTTAATGGGTTAATACATTAGTATTAAACGTGACCGTAACAATAAATTTTATGTTATAGATTTGATTCACAAATTTCAGGCATGGTAAATACTAACTGTTGAGGAGTAGTGGGAAAATCAGGATCAAAGTAAAGCAAAATAAAATTATAATTTGGAGAAAAACTAGCTAAAGCAGAAAAACAGAAACAAACTCACCATATTCCAAAAAATATACATAAACAGTGAGTAATAGAAAATAGAAAATAACTAAAAAGATTTATATCTGCCCCGTCCAGTAGCCGGTCCGTAACACTAACTTTTAACGCGTCCTCCAGCGTGACCATGGTCGAGTACTTAACATTAATTGGTTAACTCGGTACGTTATTTTAAAGCTATTAGCGGGTTTTATACTCTATCGCGCGAGATACAGCAATCGTGCGCGATTGAGCGCGCGAGAAAAGGGAAAGACCGCGCGATTGCTCTCATCAGTCGCAACACGCGCCAGTTTCACGCGGTCTATCCTGTGCTATTAGCCTTTACATGAACGTTCTTTCCGTTAACTAGGTAATAATAAAGTTGGATACGCAATTTTAAATACTATGGTTACCTTATTTAAGGGTACCTGTCCAAAATATAACATTTTAAGTGCTTTTAATATATTTTTTAAATAAATCTTCAACATTATTATTAGATATAAATACGTAAGGAACATGTGTAATTATTAGGGTTCTATAATAGAATTATAGATAACAGATTCGCGTTAGAATTTTCGCTATGTTGCCATGTTGCCGCTCTGACCACGTAACGTAATAAATAGTACGAGCAAGTGATGGGTAACCTGCCACTTCACGCACACGTTTGCACGTGTGCAGATAGCTCCTTGCTGTATAGTTGTAGGTAAATAATTTTCGACCGTTGTATGGAGTGTCCGGGGTGTGCCCGCAAGTAAACAGTTAATGGTGCAGGCTTTCCCGCGCGCAATCTACGCTCCTGATCACGGGCGCTTGAGGGACTGTATAAAGGGGGCTATTGGGTCTTATTTGTCAAAGCCGAAAACTACTACTTACTTCTAGCGTAAATCGCATCGTTGTTGTATTAGGCCAGGGGGCCAATCGCGCTAATTGTCAAAGGTTTAACCAAAACCTCCAACCTCGCCAATCTGACACGTTGTGTACATTTCGTATCGCGCTAACTGTCAAAACAAAAACCTAAGCCAAAACTTAGACGTGTGACACGTAACGCACATTTGGTATCGCGCTAATTGTCAAACGTAAAACCAAAACCTAAAATGTTGCAAATTGGTATCGCGCTAAATATTTTGACGTTTTAACCTCACATGTAACCTTGGGGGAATAGATTAACCTTTGCAAGGTCAAGGTTTGTGTGGCAGTTAATGGAGAGTAACTTTTCACTACGTTTATCGTATATAAAAGATGTTCCACGGTTACTTAAATGTTTTGGAAAGTGTTTATGAGGTGGATGTGGCCTAAGAACGGGCTTTAAATAAAAGAAAAGCATAAAAAGACGATCACATTTAACATGTCTGAGGAGAAAATCCGCAAACGATATACCATTTGTCCACGGAATTCATTTGGATTGGTGGAAGAACTATGCCTACATATTCTCGTTAAAGGACGGTCTGTTGCATTGGATGTGGAAACAAAGGTAAGGGTTAAGTGGAATCCGATAGTTCTCAGTTTTGCATAATAACCAAAATGTCTATGCTGTGTAAATCATTATTAATTTTGTTACAGATTTTAATAGCTCGTATTGTTTTTACGACTGGGGCGTACCTGTGACCCTCATTGGCAAGTGCTTATCACCCTTTCCCAAGCCAGTGTCAGAAAGGCACAAGCGGTAGCTGCTTCAAATAAACCAGTTATTATGAATAAATATGCAGCTTTCCTAAAAGGCATGCCGAAAGAGATGGTATTAAAAGGCGGTGAGAAAATAAGCTTTACAATGTACATCATATTTATTAGTTCTTGTCTTATTTCCTGTTATTATTATCAAATAAAAATGACAGATATAGGTAAAATATGTATAGTTGTATAAAAATATATTACAAGGTTACAATTTATCTCTTTTAACACTTGACTTTATACAACATATCGTCCCCTTACAGTGAAGCCTCACATATGAATTTTCAGTTTGTTTTTACTGATTTTTGTTGAATAAAAATTAATAATGTAATAATATAGTATCTAAAAGAGGTATAATTTAAGTAATTAAAATGCTAACTACACACATTATTGCATTTACTATACTTCACACCATATTTTTATCTTCATCCTAAAAAATTACATAGAAATATGTGGTATTCATTCTAAGATGACGATGTATACCTATTGTAATTGTTTATTATCTTAATATCTAAATTGATGTATACTTTTAAGAGGTTGAAATAAAAAAAAGAGTGTATTTTTAGTTTATTTATTGCCTCAATCTACCCCAAATCATCCTTCATTTCCAGAGCGAGCTTGCTTTTGATTCTTCAAAGAAGTCTGAAACAAAAATATGTATATAGTAAGATTGGAGACCTAAATTTAAGACTGTGCCATACCTCTCATGAGAGTAGTGACAGATAAAGCAGGATGGGTATTTATATACATACAGTATGAAGCCAACATAAACGCCAGAATGTTTAGGGGCCTTTTCAAAATACATTTAAAAAAATGTTTATATCACTGTGGAAATATAAAGGGGACAAAAGTCTACAGATTAGACCTTCGTTCCTTACGCTCTTTCAGATTTCCACAATTGAACATATCATCAGCAGGAATTAAGAAAACATGTTGAAAACAAACCTGTCATTCTTGTTAAATATTCTATCAAAAAGGTTAACTGCAGGCACCAACTCGGTAATTGCTTTGCAAATAGCAGCTACGGATTGGGCATGCAGATCATCTGTTTTGACAGAAATAATAGCTGCCTCAGCCTGCACCCTGCCAGCATTCACTTGCTGCAAGATTGCTTCGCATGCTCGCAGCTTCTCAATGCATAAGAATTCTACCCGGCTCTGCTCCAACGCTCATCAGCTCGCTGCCAATGAAATAATAGATGTGATGTAATAAAGAGTGGGAAAGAATTTGCTCAAATTGAAAGTTACTTTGTTTTTTAATTAATAATAAAGAGTGAGAAAGTTACTTTGTTATGGAATTGTATGTTTGAAGTTATTTAGTTACTTAGTGCTAGAGTTGGTGTCCTTTAGGAAGGTTGGTAGGTCCTCTGCCGCAGTCGATGTGGCGTAGATTCTCACCCTGCTTTTCATACCATTCCATATCTGAATAACAAATAATAACATTGCATATTATAGTGATATGAGTTCTGGTACAATAAGGGTGAGTGATCCATTCACTGTATCCTATTACCTCTCATTATGACTCACCTTTTGGGATCTATTGCGGGGCCACAAAATAGCCACACACTCGCACCAAAGGCGTGCTGATAACACGCGCGAACAACGCCGAGCGAAGTCATTCTCAAGCTAAATCTCTGTGCGATTCGAACTCCAGCAAAGATGGAGCTGGCTTACAGTGGTCGCTCGCCGTCCGACCGCATCCACATTGGCTGAAATACGAGCATCATTATTAATTCTACATTGCTAACATTTCGAAATTAATAGTAGTTAGCGTACCTATTTGATTGTATAAAAAGATACTATTTTATTAAATAGAATATTAAAACAGGAAAACAATGTGTAGGTACTTACCTCTGTGTGTTTTATCTACAACAACAACACACTAAACTCAATTAATTTGGTTCAAATGACAACTCATATGTTTGTTTACAATAGAATTTAATGACATTTCTTTTACACACTTTTTTAAATCGCTCTTTTATAGACTTGAATTCGTAGATATTGACATTTCAGTGCGTTTTACGGTAAAATTTAGTCGGTTTTAGGAAGTCAAGGCACGTCTCTTAAAATTTAATACGAGGTTATAGTTTGAGGTTTAACTGAGGTTTAGGTTCATTAAAACTGATAGCGCGATTGCATTTTGTGCGTCGGTAGAACCATTAATTAACCAAAACCATAACCTCAAATGTTGTAAGGTTAAACCCTGCGAAAATAGCGCGATTGGCCCCCAGATCTGAAAAATGTTTGAAAAATGTTGAGTCTTCAGGAAAGAGGTTTAAAGATTCGGTGAACGAAATTAATCGATAACTTTTGTATGCTTAAATAAAGTTATAAAATTTGATATGTACAGACAACGGCACATCAGACTATACATTTTTTTTTTGTTCGAAAATCGCCTCCAGTGCAACGGAACAAGATACGTCAATGTGTAGCTTGATGTGCTGGCGTGTGTACATCATTCGTACTATATTTTTATGAGTATCATGTGAGAAAAACACTTAACGTATATTCACAAGTTATTTTTAACCGACTTCTAAAAAGGAGGAGGTTCTTATTTCGAACTACTTTCGCTTATTACGTAATAACTTTGTGAACCAAATTTGACGATTCTTTTTTTGTTAGAAAGAGGATACCTCAGAAGTAGTCCCATTTATATTTGAAGTAAATATTCCACCTCTAAGAGTGGCAAAACTAGGCGATGAATGACTTTTGAGGTCGGTTTTTTTAGTACTCTGTACTGAGATTATACTAAAGTATACAAAGGTAGCTGAGGTATTTTCTTCTACGGAGTATTTATTTCAAAAGGCGATGCTTGCGTCGTCGCAACATTTCAAGGTCCCAAGTATGTAAAAGTATGTAAAATTTTGAAATTTTCCTTAAGTACTCCAAGGCAATTGAAGACAATGCTATAGAATGTTTTGGAAAGTTCTTGACCCACTTTCGCAAAGATATTGTTCACGAAACCTGTAAAATAAGAACTATGTCATATTCAGAAACATAAATTCACGCGTCGCAATTGAAAAGATGTTATGATATGCCAAAGGCTACAATACTTACAAAGAAGAAAGGAATACCGGCGATAGGTACGAGAGGGTACAGAAAAGTTGCGTGACACTGAAGCATTAGTTTGCATCCCGTTTCGAAGGTAAATAAAATACGATGTTTTTTGTGCTTTGATCGCAGAGATTGGCTTTTTTAAGTTATATTTTGATGTATTCACTGAATTATACCACATTGTGGTATTTTAGATGTTCATCTTGGGGTCACCAATTTAGGTGGTTTTCTGCAGGTACTTTTCAGTGAAACGCTGATAATGAGACTTGGAACTAGAATGCATCTATTGCAAATATCGCTATATTTATTATAAGCGTTGAATGGTATACTAAAATGTTGAATACCGAATCAACCAATCAGAGGATCTACATTATTGCAAGAGCGAGACAGATATATTGCTATCTCGCTAGCATAAAGATACGTGACCCGTGGACTTGTCGCGCAGCCGAGGTAATGGCGAAGTCAAGGCCATCAGCCGCCAACTGCAAAGTGTCCTTCATAAATAAAAAGCAAAACAAAATGACCGTCACGGCGAACTGACGAAAATTTTTATCACTTTACAGATTTGTTACCACGCGGTAGGTATGACCTTTTCTTATTATCCACTTTACGGGTTCATTCCGAAATATCTGGATAATAAGGTAAAGTCCGATAATGGTAAGAAACCTGTAACTCGTGATAATAATTTAGTGAATAACTTCGAAGTCAATCAATATAATGGGGATGATTTATTTAGCGACGATGGGTTCTAACATCAAATTGAAATCATTTGAAATATTTTCGTTCAGAACTGTTTCCATTGGTATTGAAAATAATAATATTGTGAAGGTTAGTTTTAGTAGTTTGCATAATAGAGCACACCTACGTTTCCTAGTCGAAATTATCAAATGAGCTTATGAATTTTGCTATTAGAAAACGAAGAACTCCACGTTAGTTATAGCAAAATGAAGAGCTAATTTTTTTGCTGAATTTATATTTTCTAAACGATATCATCAATGCCTTTAAAGTTAGCGCGAAAACGTCCCGTCCAGGCGTACGTGTACCACCTCTGCCTCATCTTTGCTTTTATCTGGTGAAAAATGTGAAACTTTCTCTAATAAAAAAATTGCAGAAGTTTGGGCCTCAATAGTTGTTTAAGCAATAAAAACCTGTAACAATTTAGTGGCCAATAGAAAAGTCATTCAGGGATTGAGAAAAGAACTGTCCACAAATAAATCAATTTTGTGTAGCATAGAAAAGGTAATCAAAACAAAAGAAAACCAATAAGAAAAAGTAATTTATTTGTTTGAAACACTAGTTCGATATTCACAGTAGTCGATGAGTACTAATAGCTTATACTAAGTTCTCAACTATGATGAGCACTGCAGCATAGAGATAGCGCACAATTTATTATACTTATTGATTAGGTAATTACTTCATCAGAATTTAATTATAATGTAAAGGAATTTTCGACTTTAAAATAATCTGCTTAAAAAATCTGTGTAAACAAAAAAATATTACTAATGCATTTGACCTTGAGTACTGACATAGATTTAAATTATATATATTATTTAATCTCAATTTCTATGTTATTTTTATCACTATTTGTCGTTTATATTATTGCTTTTATAAATATCGTACGCTATCCCTTGTAAAAGTGAATGCAAAAACCAAATAAAATATGGAGTTCCACAAGAAATAACTTTGGGTCCAAATTTTTAAGTATACAACGTAACATAAATTAGTTATTAAAAACTGTTGTAAGAACAAAAGCAGTGTTTATAATTAAGGTTAGATTTTCCTATATTTTTTTCTTAAATGGATGTGTTAGGGCAAAAAATCTTAACGAACTAACAGTCTCCTTCAATTAAGTATTTAAAAATGTTAGCCTTAATATTATAATAACTTCCTGATATTATCAAAAATATTCATAAACTATTTAAGATTGTGCGACTATGAATAGTTAATTCTAACTCGAATAAGTAAACTCGAATAGAATAGGTAATTATGAATAGTAACTTGAAGTGAAATTTTGAAGAGTAAATGTTAATTGTGCATACTAAAAATATACTGCAACATATTTAATAAAATTAGTAAGAAAATAATACTAAAACAAAACTAGTTTTTGGTGTTAGTAGCTACACAACAAAAACTTATATGACAACTAAAAAATAAATACTTTTAAGTAAATCGCTTGTCAAATTGCACAAAAATATTTTTTTAAACGTCTATCGACTTTGATGGCACGTTTTATATAAATATATTAGTAAAAATAAGCGCCTATTTTACATTTAATGTGTCTTAATGCGAATACACACCAAGGACTATATTGTCGGTTCAAAATTGGTAAGTTAATTCCATTCTTAAAAGATGGACTTTTACTCATTGTTTGACTCGCAGAAAGTTTATGGTGTGCACTCACTCGTATAACAAGTTACCTTGAAACTTTCTAGTAGTCAGTACAAGAAATTAATTCTTTTTTAGCAAAATAGCAAAATCAATGTTTTACTTGCCAGCCGAAGTAAATTATAATTATTGCTGAACACTCTACGTAATATTAATACACTGCCAAAATATATTTTGTTTATGGCACTAAAAAAAATATTTACAATACCATGTGGACGCACTAATGGATTTTTTATCTTTTATAAACATACATTAATTCCATTGATAAACCAATAAATAACACATTCACAAATTCTAAAATCAATTCCACATCAGGTTCAAATAAAAATTAATACAAATACGAAATTTAAAAGAGACCACACAAAACTATTTAGCTGCACATATAGAGGAGTAAGGCTTCGCAAACATGTGTCTTGTGTTGGATACAAACAACCGGCAAACTTTTATAGAAGCGAATATTCGCTTTATACAATTTATATAAATTCGACACAACAGCATTTATATGAAATTAGAATATTCGCATAGAATATTAGTTGCCGGTTGTGCATGTATCCAACAAGACACACGTTTGCGCAACGCCTAAGGGTGTACGACAATATTATAATTTATTTTGTGGTGTGTTAATAATGCTAATGATTACTCGCATAAGAACGTACATTTGAAAGTACTTTCAAATAAACAAATTGACAATCATACACTTCCACATCAAATACATTATAAAGTACACGAAACCGCATAATTTTCACGGTGGATATTAAAAAGTGGAGTACAAAAGTTCGACGGAATCATTTCATATTTAAATGCAATTCATATCACTTTTAGAAGCTCATTGGAATTTGTTCACAACTTGTTTAACCCAGCTTTCTTTTGGATCTACTTCGTTTGCCTCTTTCTGTTCCATAATAATGCTGTTACCGGGAATATTTTTATCCACACTTGTATCAACATTTTTGATATCTCTTTTTCCACTGTCGCTAACACTTCTTTCAAAATTAGCAACCTTGGTAGTAATAGATTTAGGCTTATTTATCGGAACTGTTTTTTTCGTACTTGGAGTTGGTTTCACTATTTGAGTTTTTGCCATTTGTTCAATTTCCATTCTTCTTTCTAAGACTGACTTTGTGGTTATTTTCGGAGGTTCTATAGAAGATCTCTTTTCAGTTGTTTTAATTTTTCGTGTTGCAGAATCGAGACTTGCTCTTTCGAAGCTTAGGCGTTTTATTTGTATGTTGTTATTTACTTGAGGTTTTATTTGAACTCCGTCTACTTCAGATGATTCAGTTTCTTTGATTTCGATACCTGTAGTTTTGATATTACTTTTAGCTTCGTCAGTAGGAGTAGACACACATCGAGCAATGCTTGGTTTTGCACTAAAACTACGTTTAACAGTTTTAGTACCAACAGATTCAGTAGATGTAGAAGTTTCATGGCTCTTCAATAAGTTGCTATTCCGGTGTATGTAACTCTTATTCTGATAAGTAGTAGGAATACTAGATATTTTTGGTTTTACAGGAACAGGTGGTGCTACTTTGGGTCTAATAAGTTTAGAATTTTGAGGTTTTTCTGTATTATGTTGTTGATTTTTATTCGTAGAACAAGTTAGTCTTGTTGGCATAGTGTTTCTTTCATTACTTGAACAAGTAATAGTGACTTTTTGGGCTTGAAACGAAATATTCTTCTTAAGACTTTCGATTCTAGTAACAGTTTTATTTATAACTTTGTTTTCTTTACTAGAATCAGTTTTACCATCTTCAGTGTCATCTTGGTCAGAATATACCGCTGAATCTCTAAAAACATCTTCATCTATCACTTGTTCGATTTTTTCAAAGGACTTTTCGTAGAAACTTTCATCCGAAATCATTTGTGTCGAGGAACCGGATGAATTTTCTTTTTTTACTGTGCTTTGATTGTCAGTTGTCTTATTCTGACTTTCTATATACGCTCCTTCACTAGACGAAGTTACAAATGATGAATTCGAAAACAAACTATCCGGTCGGACTGCGTTTTTATTAATAAGTACATTTATGTTTTTCAGAAGACTTTTTTCTGCCATCAAAGTCGTTGGATCGGCATAGTCTGATTGCGCTATACGAGCTCCTAAACATTTGCTTCCTTGCATGTAAATTGGCAATTTATTTAATGCCTGATATGAGCTATTGTTAGATTTAGACGGAGAAGTATTACTACCAAAACTACTGGAAATAGTTGTAACTAGACTAGCCCTTTTTTCAAAAGTTGGCAATACCTCTGATCGTTTTGCTATATCATCACAACTATGTGATAAAATTTCAAGATTATTTTTTTCATTTTGACTCTCAATCAGTGTACTATGCTCATACACACTTTGAGTTAAACACTCAACTCCAGAATAGGCTATAGTAGATGTAGTGGGACTGACTTCAATAGACGTTATAACGACTTTAATGTCAGTTTTAGGTAAGTTGGACTGTGAATCATCAACAGATTTAGCTTTATGAAGGTTTTGTTTATTTTGATTATCGTCGGAGTGTTCATCTCCTATAATGCTTCTGAATCTTTGTAGCAAATTCTTTGAGTAACTTCTTGGATTTAAAGCAGATTTCTTTTCATTTGAGGGACTTTTTACATCAGATTTAACACTTTCAGGGCTACTTTCATCGTTGTCATTTATCTCAGTATCTTCAGCATTTTTATTTGGATTCCGGTTCCTAAATCTACTAAGTACATTTTTAAGAGACAACATGTTACTGGTTGGTTTGTAAATTTTATGTTCCGGATGAATATGACTTGGGTTTTTTTTATCTTCACTGCGCTCTAATGGCAATACTTCACAAGAAGATGTTGCAGAAGTGTTCAAATTGGGTTGAGAAACTGTTAACAAGTTTTCATTCTTATTTTTATCCAAATTGACATCTTCGAAGTTGCTTTTATAGCATCTGTCAATTTCCTCTTCTAGTTCTAAAGTGGATTGACTTATATTTTGCCCAAAATCACCTTCATTGGATTTTTTATTAAATTTAAGTATATCTCCATCGGTCATATAGTTTTCCACATCATCGTAACTTATCTCACTTTGATCGGATGCAATTGTAAACGGCCTATCGATACTTAGAACTTTTCCCTCTCTGTTTAAATAAGTCTTGCTGTTACTGTTAGGTTTACATTTAAATGTGCTTAAGCCATTTTCTTCCTGGTTACTCGTAACTACTTGAAAACTTCTTGGAAGAGATCCTGACTTTCTATCTCTCGATACATTGAAATGTTCCTTCTGTCTACTCAACCAAATCTCAGGTGTGTTTGGGCTTTGTTGGTCTGAGCTCATAGGTAAATATTCACCGGGTAAGTTACTAGGTACGTCTTTCTTTCGTCTGCAAACTTCGACAAGATTATCATATAAACTTTCATCATTTACAGATGGGCCTTGGTTTTCCATTGTGACGTAGTAATCTGAAGATTTTCTATTTTCAAGTTTCTCGGGCGATTTTACTGGTACGTCGTAAATACTTTCATTACATTGATTATTAAGTTTATCAAATGAAAGATATACGTAATCGGAATCGGGACCATTAACAAGAGCATCTGCTGAACTATGTGGAAGTTTTGGTGGTGATAGGTGTCTCTTAGGTCCTTCAATATGAGAAATATGTTGTACTTGGTTGTCGTTCTGTAAAGTATCGTCGAATTTAGTTTCCACTCTTAAAGTTTCATAAATGTGGTCTTCTTCCTTCAGATCATTTAAATCGTTTGTAGAATTTGAAGTATCTTTGTCTTGCTCATCATTTTCTTCTGTTGTTTTCAATTCTGTATGTTCAGAAATTTGTCGAACGTATTTAGGTCTTACTTTTAAAGAATCAGAGTTTCTAGTTAAAATAGTCGGTTCAGGAGTCGAATGTGACTTGAGTAGTCTCTGGTGTCTTCTTTGAGCACTATTCCTTAACTGTTGTTTCTTAAGCAACTTTTGAAATTCCCGATTCTGCATTAATAATTGCGATATGATCTGTTCTAATGGTTGTTCTGCCTCTCCAAAAGTTTCTTGGACTTCCTTTGTTCTTTCTTCTTCATTTCTTTCCTCAGCTTCTGATCCCTCGTTTATAACTTTCTGTTTGTTTAAATACTTACCTTTTTCCAATTCATTCTTTTTAAATGAATCAGTTTTCTCAATCAATTTTTTATAAGTTTCATCATCAATATCTTCGTCTTTGCTTATGGAATCTGGTAAATCCGAACTCTGCGAATTGTCTTTTGTTTTGTCAACATTCAAACTATCATTAGATTCAGATATATGTAAAATGTTTTCAGTAGACACATCTGTAGAAAAATCAGCGTAAAATTTCGCCGTAGTATCGGCTCCAGCTCGGAATCCTTTTGTTCTATTCTTTTTCAATTTATAAATTTTCTTTGGTATGTTTTTAGTATTATACATTTTGATTTCAATATTCCGTATTTGGTCTCTCTTTCTACCATCCACTTCAGGATCGGAAATTATAGCTGTCTCGTTTATTTTCACTTTTCTTGTTATTTTATTTGAACCACAATTACGACACTCGAATTCAATTTTTTCATTACCTTTGTCATTTCTTTCGCCATCACTGTCTTGAGATTTTTTAACAACAATATTGTTTTGTTGCAAACCAGGTTCAGATTTTCTTCTCCAAGTTCCTATTTTGGACAGTTTAGATCTATGAGGATCATCCTTAGATTTAGATCTTGTTCCATCAATCCTATATTTATCACTTTCGTTACATCTGGATTTTCTAACACGTGATGCGCCTACAGTATCAGCTACGGGTATATTTTCTTTGATTTTCGCGCACTTGAGGCAAGTCTTAGGAATGTTCCTTACATTTAATAAGGAGTTATTAGTCTCACTCAGATCATCTTTAGTTTTAATGCTTTCTGTATAACCAACTATGTTATCAGAAGAATGATAGCCACGAGTCTTATTAAGAGAATTAGTGAATTCTTTACTGAAACTTTCTTGGGAAGACTTGAAATCCGAACATTTACAACTTTGTTTTCTTTCTAAACGCTCTGTACTACCAGCATCTATATAATGCAAAGATCTGTCACAATCTGGACATTTATCGTTATCAACACAAACACATTTGTCTGTATTATCCTTATTGAGCTCAATTTCACAATCTGAACATAAATCCATGTAGCAGTTATCACAAGTATAGTCTGTACCTTTTTCGACCGAGACTTGAACACAGTCACATTCTTGAGTTTCAGTCTGTGAATTGGGTACGGTGTATTTTCTATTCACTTTCTTCAAACGAGCTCTGAGCCCGTTTTCGAATGATTTTCTTCTTTCTCGCTCCAGTTTTCGTTTCTCGAGATATTCGGGGGCTGACAGTTGTTTTCTCATCGATGCTTGCGTTATCAAGTTGTGTGATTTCTCTGCCAGTATGTCATCTGGAAACGAAATACAAAACTTGTTATGAAGAAAACATGAAACTGAAGTATATACTTATAGATTGTAAAATACCGAATAATTTACCGTCAGTTTTGTTCTGGCCGAGCTCCATAACAAGCTGTCTTGCGTGAGATGGAATAACAGCATTGTAGTTTTCCAAGATCACCTGAAGAACACAATTAAATACATTTTTACATAGAGCAATATTTACTTTAACAAAAACTCGATACTACAACGACAAAGAATATTTTGTATTTAGAGAATTAGCAATATATAAATGAGGGCGACAAAATAGGAATCAAAGAAAGAACGAAAAAACATTTATTAGGCTATTACAAATAAAATTTGTATATTTTATTATGATAGCCGAATCTATATTAAAAAAAAAAATACAAATGACACAACAATGCCGAAATAGCTAGCCAGGTCAGCTTGAAGTTGAGCAGAGCCACAGCGCTGACTTTTAGCTAAACACAATAGAAATAACAAATAATCCGTAATTAAAAAAATACACCAATTCAACTTACGCGTTTCAATAGTAGAGTCCACTCTCGTTTGTGACGCGGCGACCGCGCCTGCAAGGTAAGCTGCGCGCGCGGCGCATCCCACGGGATCACGTGGAATGAGAGAGGAGCGCCCGCTATTGATTCGACTAGCATCATGTTGTTGCACTGAAAATTCAAATGAAGGACGTCTATTTTAAAGGAAACAAATAGTCAACCTGTGGTCAAGAGAAGAAAGAAAATATTCTTCGGGTAGAAAAAAGTACCCCGTGGTACATGAGATTATCAGTTCTCAAACGCTGTACGATATTTAATAAAAATTTAATACAATAACATTATTTGGCTTGGGACAGATGACAATTGTGCACAACAAATTTGGAATGAAATAGATTTAATTAAATATCCCATTTAGAAATATCAAATCAACTAGTCCAGTAGCTTGTGAAGGAGTTCAACCTGAGTACTACTGCCACCTTACCTAATTCTGCTGCCAAGTGAGCGTTATTGCGTTCCGATTTAGAAGGGTAAGGGTGCTGCAAAATTACAGGCACATGGGACTTTTCAACTTACGTCTCAGGGTGACGGGCGCAGTGGCAATGCCCCTCTGGTCTTTATGTTTAAAGCTTTGAGTGGCACTGAAACTGCTATGGACAGGTGTGCCGCTTACCATCAGGCGCACGATTTGTTCGTCCCATCACTTAGTATCATAAAAAAAGAACTTTTATAAAATTTATAAAAACGAGGAAACCATAAATTAAAAAATAAGTAAAATTAATGCACCTTGAATCTAGATGTGAGACCACACAAATGCTATTAATGATTTTAAAGATTGGTGGAATATAACTACCTCAGTGCCAAACTTTTAATAATAATAACAACTCGTTTATTTGCTTAAAACATGGTATAACAGAAGATGTTACAGGATATAAATAGCATGCAAATGTCTAGTTATATAATGTCAATTAGACTACCACAACACGATAATAAAAAATGTCACACGCATGTCAAGTTACAAATTAATTTGGTCAAAAATCTTCAAGATAAATTTTATTTCCTGTCAAATATACGAACATCATTGTACGACACATTGTATGTATGTGGGTTGACCAAACTCACCATGATATGCGTCTTGTATGCGAGAATGCCGTCTTCCCTGTTCTTCGTAACTAGCAGCATCTTATCGAAGAGGAAGGCGTGCCGCATCGCCTTTGCGCCGAACACTCTGTAATATGAAGTACAAAATATTGATAATAAATAATTAATGAGACCATATTTTTTCCATCAGACCGGGACACCTGTAAATATATTATTGTTTTAAAAATAAAATATATGTATATGACAGTTACGAAATGTTTAATGATAATTAAAAAAAACAACTTAAAATATTTAATAATCAAAAATAAAAAAGAACTATGAAGTGAAAAGAACCTGTGTGGTCTAATGGGCTAGCTTTATATATTTTTAGGGATGAGCAAATTTTCTTTAATACGTGATGTTTATCTAAACAACATCTGTTATATCTATTCCACGGCAGTCGCCGCCAACCGCACATCACCGCCAAATAAAATGCACGCGCGGTATGGACGCACAACTAAAAGAACCAGGCGACAAGGCTTACTTGATGCTTCGCTTTCGCGCCATTATATTAAATTTATTTTCACGAGTGCCCTGTATAGTCAAAGCGGGACATTTTTAAGTTTTTATGGACAGCAGGATACGACGCTTAAAAGAGGGACTGTCCCGCGCAAAGCGGGTCACGTTAGCTCGATCTTCGGAAAGGGAATACTGATAATCCACCTAAGTCAGTTTGAGAAGAAATCTGCAAGAGAACCAATTTCGCACCATACGTAGCCATCCACTGCTTGCTCAGTGTATCATCAGCTTGACATTTTGTAAATGGAATGTTAACGTACCTGAATGTACCTTCGGCACACAATTCTCCGTACGTAGTTAAATCCGGGCCATTCCAACCGTACAAGAGTGACTGGATCTCCTGAAAAGCAAATACAATAGATTTATTTATTAGGCCCCATATCTAACAAAGTTTCAATTTTTTGGGCTTCACAAGTGTGTAATAAGCTCCTCTGTGGTGTTTGTAATGTTTTAGGCAACATATTATATTTAAGTGACGTTGTTATCTCTCTTAGGCCCATTTTCCATCAAAGCGGAGCAGAAGGCGACTATATTTTAGGAACCAATGGCATTTCGTCGTTTTGATTAAGCGAGATGGAGATGTCAAATTACAAAATACTTATTGATTAATATGAATAACGACCGGGAATTACTTAAGTAGTTAAATTAACTTAAAGTTCTTCTAACACAAAGCGAGTTAAAATCTGACAAGTTCATTTTCAGCCGTAAAGATCAAGCCACACAGACGCGGTACAACGGGAAAAGCAGTCCGGGGCCGTACCCGCGGAAAGCAAATGCATACTGGGGCGTGCCACACAGCAGTTCCACGAGTAGTTCGTAGGTCGCAGATTTTAAAGAAAGTACCACATCACTGTCGGATAGTGATCAAGAAAAAAATCTGTTTTTCAACTGTTAAAGTACTGCCACTTTACTTATTTCTGCCGCCAAGCAGCAATGTTGCAGCATTACTTCGTTCCAGTTTGGAAGGGTAAGAGAACTGGTGAAATTACAGGCACATAGGACTTGTCAATTTATGCCTCAGTGTGACGGGCGCAGTGGCAGTACCCCTCAGATCTTTGCGATTTAAAGCTCTGAGCAGCACTGCAACTGTTAAACATAATAGCCGTGAGGGCTACAGTAGTGCAAAAGGGGAACATTGTTGAATTTATGCGAACAAATTGCTGAAAATTACATAGTAAATAAATAAGTTGGTACAAACCTGCACACGGACTGCGTGTTCGTGTCTGCGTTTCATATCGTCGATATGTTGAGCGATGCCTGTCATCTTAAGCAACGCGTACTCTGTCTCGCGAGAAGCGCACTGCTTCACTACATTCTGGAAAATATACGGAAAGATTCCATTACTAAGTAGTTGAGGGTACTATTAAGATTAAATTAGTATATGCAGTAGGTCACACGTAGTTACACTATGAACGCATCTTAAACGATATGTTTATTTAATACGAGGTTGCTGCTATAGCCTGATGAATGTGGAGTGACTATATTATTGTCCATTCGCGTAAGACTCAATTTATATTACGGCGAAACGAAATGGAAGCGAATTTTTGTAACGACATTGACCATAAAGTTCATTATGCTGTGTACGGGCAACGGCACACCGACTACACATTTTTGTTCGAAAATCGCCTCCAGTGCAACGGAACAAGATACGTCAATGTGTAGCTTGATGTGCTGGCGTGTGTACAATAGCGTTACAAAAGTCCTCGGAGTGCACGCTATTAATCAAGTTTGATCTTGTTTTGAATCTTAACTAAACAAACTGCATGAAAAAGCGTGTATCTGTAGGAACAACATCGATATTCGTGGTTTATCAGTTTCTTGATAAGTTGCACAGTTTAAAATTACTAAATTCACATTTACCTGCAATTGGTTGGATATTTTTCCCTTGTTACCCGTACATAACAAAAGTTACATTACCAGCACAGGGAGAGAAAAAAATACTCCTGCAACAAAACCACGTAATCTAACAGGAATGTTTTTTTATTCCCGTTTTTATAAAGTGTTTTAAAGCTGTTGGTTTTGCATGTATAAATAAATAAAAAAGCTACCAACTTTAGGTGTTTCAAGACAACAACGATATCAGTTACATCTTATTGTAATCTTACGCGAACAGACATTTAAAGATACAGTTTTAATTAATTTACTTGTATATTTCATAAATAGTAAATAGAAAAGAAGTAAAATTGGTAAACGATACCACCCCCTCATTTCAATGGTATTTCCCGGGACACTAAGTAGCATTTAGATACTCTGGTCAAGCACGTGCGTTTTCTAGAAACCGCATTACCCCAATGAAAATCAAAATAATCAAAGACAGACAAACCTGTAACAAGAGATGATATTTCAAAATTCGCTGAACCGGCTTCAACAGGTAAGAAGCAAGGGGTAGCGGATGGCCCAACGCCATCTGTCGTTCTCTGAACTCCCGTGCACTATGTGTCTTCGACGCTAAAGCGGCCAATTGCTCCATGGTACGGGGATAACCAGTGCAATATGAAGTGTACACCGCGAAGCCAGTAGTGTTGTTAACAAAACAGCGAGCTATGCATGTCGCATCTAGATTACAGCTGTTTAGTTCTTCGCAGAGGGATCTGAAATTACAAATAGTGAGATAAATTACCGTTTAAAGCTCTTATTACAGCTAAGTGGATGGCAACTCTGGGAAAGGTTGACGAGTACAACGGCGTACGTATCTTAAACACATTGAGATTGTACTTATAACAAATTTAGCAGGGTCGTAGCACGGGAGCATTCATACCATCTGCCTAACCTTTGGGAGACAGGCGTGATATTGTATATGCGTGTGTGTAATTTCAAAAAAAATGGGGAAGTAAGGAGCTTCCATTTTTTAAGTCAATTATTAAGATCACATTGACGTATGCCTCCCGAAGATGTCTCAGAAAAAAAGAAAGTTTCTTTTGTTTACTAGTTTAACTCTATTACGTTCGCCAGTCCATTTGTTATGTGTAGTGGTTATAACAAATTGTTCAATTTTCGTCCAATAATGAACTGGTTTCAAATGACTAACTCAAATAAGTAGATCGCTTTATTCTACAAGTTATAGTTAGGTTATTTTCTGTATTTTGTGCAAAGTGCATCCAATCAGTTATAAGCCCGATCAACTGTAGAAGAATAACGATAAATCTATTCAATTGTACAATTACAACATCAAACAATTACTCAAAGCTATAAATGTGACTACAAACGGGTAATAAAATTATTTAAAATAGGCCAAGTAATCATGGTGATACCCACAAACTTAATTATACTTTCAAAGATATAAACTGACGGGACCAGTATTGCACCTTGTGGTACACCACACAATAATAAAAGTCGTTTGGAGTGAAAAGGCAATAAAGTGCGTAAATTTTATGTTCATATTTAAGGCACGGGAGAGAGAGAGAGAACTGTAGTCGTATCGAGTTTAACAGGCCATGAAATAGGATCTAAAGTTTGTGGTCTCCATTGTCTAAGGCCTCGGCTCGTGCTACATACGCGAGATTGAAACCGATATATTATGAGTTTTTGCATATGCCTTAGAAATCGACTGTTGTCTCTTAAGAGAGTTTTAATGTGACATTCTGAAGTGTGTGAAATATCGAAGTACCGTAGTGTATAATTATTTTGATTTAGTAAGCATATAAATACTTCCTGCCTTATTTTAGTTAATTTCTCAAAACGTAGCTAGAGGCATACAATCCCTTACTTTCCAGTGGAGGTCACGGATCTCCCTTAAAACGGTATTTAGATCAGTATGTATATTTTCCTTAGTCCCATACCTAGCAATGAAATATACACCCCCAAATACATTACATTATAGTTTCATACTATATTTTGCAGCTCGAAATAAACATTAACAAAACGTCAGAAATATCAATAACACTTAATACTCTGATACAAGTCACCCTTAGCCAGTGAAAATCCATGCTCCAATGTTTGCAACACATGGGATAATTGACGTACCCTAATGCATCGACATATTACGGCGCTATTCTTTGTGACGCAAAATCGCAGGGGCGAAATAGACGAACTACAATTTACTACCACTAACCTGAAATCAAATTTACATTGACTAAAAGCAATTTCTCCGGAAAACTGATAGAGCTTCCTTTTCTGTATACATGTATCATATGTATGATGTTAAACCGTCGCAATACACTTAACGTTACTTTATTTCATTTAAACTTCATATTTGGGAAAAATCGTAATTCTCAAGATTATTGATTGTACCAGTATTTAAATTACTATTTAACCAGCTATACTATTGCACCACTGTTCCCGTCATCTCCAGGATGTTGGTTGAAACAGGTTGGTCGACTTAATAAGTTACCAGTTCTAGTTCTTCCAAGTGTTCTTCTTTAGACTCCAAACAACTTGTCGTAAGAGTTATATTCTTAACTCAGCAGCTTCACTTGTTTTGCCATACTGAGACAAATAATTTTAAATTTTTTGCTAAGTATTTCTTTGTGTTTGTTTCGAATTTCTTTGTTTTGTCTCTTAATTAATTTTGATTTTTATGTTATTATGCCTATAGTCTTACACAAACTTATTAGTACTGTTTTACTCTGCGACTAAATTATGATCTTTGATTATAACGTCTTCGCGGCAACAATCCATGTCAATGAAATTGTTAAAACCCATTAAGAATTATTTCTATCCTAATCCTACAAGCCATATCGTACCAAAGTCACCCCCACAGGGGTGTAAAAATAATAGCGAGGGCTAAATTGGAGAGGGATTTTTTTTTACAAAGCAACGACGCTTGTAGATTCTTTTTATTGTACTTCCTACAAATAGTAATATGTGTGGTCCGTTTTAGTTGAGGAGAGTGTTGCCTTGTAATTTTGACACATGTTGAATTACATTTTAGTTAAGATGTTAGAGAAATATTTTGCAAATAAAGTTAACTCTTTTGTATTTGTGAAATAAATAGATAGAACTTTTGTTGTCTTCCCACAAGCACACGCAACACTATGAAATAATAGAGAAAAGACAGATATAAACCAGCTAACTAGTAAAAGAACAACAACTTGTAACTAATGCAATATACTAAATAGTTCATAGCGAGATCATTTTGCACAAAAGTAAAGCATTGGTTTTCAGCTATCACCTTCAAGGTTAGCACTATTCGGTGCACCAGCAGTAAAAGAAAAAAAACAACGTGTAAGTCATGTACGCAGTACCTGTTAAAAGTATAGATTTCTTCGATGTTGTTAAAGAGTTCAGAAAGCTCGTCATCGGAAAAGGTTGCCTCTCGTCGCCACTCGTGGAGGTAGCCCTGAAATGAATGAAACACAATTTTGAGTAAGTCACCACTACTAAGTAAAATCCGAATAAACAAAAGGTTTGCATAACATAAGTAGTGAGTGGTAAGTAGAGTTACATTCCATGGTAAGTTTGATATTTGTTGAACCATTGTTGAACTTGACAATCTCACGTATAGTTTGAATCATAATTAGATGTCCAAAATGTAAACTAATAAATGTCATTGTCAAAGTGTGAATGCAGGTGTGCTAAATCTTCAAACTTTAACGAAATTGGAAAAGGAGAAGGTTCTCATTTTTACAATTGAATTTATCTGTTACGAAATATTAATAATAAACACAACCTTTAACAACAATACACAATAATTAACAAATGCACTGCGGCGGCACGAAAACGTTCGAGAATAAAATACAAATGACATCTAAGAGACGACAAAATGGCGGCACAAAAATGGGTTTGATCCCTGGGTGATTGATGATACTGGGTTACCTACCAGTATCATAAAATACTATAAAAACATAGTAATTTTTTGAAAATACATTGCAATATGTAAATTGTTCTAAGTTTTACCAGATTACAGCTTGAAACGAGTTCTAAACGTTTATTATCATCAAAAATAGGAAACTACCATATAAAACGTATTTTTTGCTCGATTATCCCCTTTGTTTATTATTTGGGCATTTAACATTTACTTGTCAGTTACAACAATTAAATAACAAATCCAGCAAGTTAGTTGCAAGTAGAGTAATATATGAAGTCATAAACGTTCCGCGACTGGGCGCCGGGCCCACATCGGATTTGCGAGCGACTGTCAACTTGACCTGGTCGTTACCTCGACTTGTTGAATCAACCAGTTCATCGTGAGATTACCCACTCGCAGGAAGCTTAAGGAAGCTGATGCTTAAAGCAATTTACGAGAATATCCAAAGGTGCGGCCTGTTGCCATTTCACATACATTTCGTCACATAACTGACAGAATCAAGTTTAAGTTAAATTTGTGGGCAATTTCCATACGTACACAAACCACTACAAAAAGTGCAACACTGGTGATGAGAGTCAAACCTGCTTCATATGCTTACGAAATCATGTTTTCCCGTCGTTAAGCTAACACTGCTGTACTCGTATTGGTTATGTTCAGCGGCCCATAAAACAAATGTGACTATGGCAATGAAAACGTACGCGAAACCGGTGTAACCAGTAGCGTTACAACACGAGCGGGACAAACGGATTACCTTTGTTTACTTAAAAGACTTGAGTAAGCCTCGTTTTCACGCTGCTGTTAGCACAAGATACATCTGACTCTATAAAGAAGACTCGCTGTAATTTGGATCGCGAATTCACAATATTCCTTTTTACTGACAAACGTAGAAAAAAGTAACCCAACAGCACTGGCGGAAATATTTTTTTTTTATGAACATTTATCTAAACAAATGTTACATTATACATACAACACTATACACTCCATAGATATAGAAACTATAAAAACAAATTGCCAATACTTGAACATTACGTAAAAATACGAGACTCTACCATTGAGGCGCTACCACTGCGCCCGTCACCCTGAGACATAAGTTGACAAGTGCAATGTACCTGTAATTTCACCAGAACCCCTTACCATTCAAAACCGGAACGCAGTAATGCTCACATTCCTGCTTGGCAGCAGAAATACGTAAGGTGGCAGTACTTCCCTGGACGAACTCTTTGACAAGGAGCTTTACTGCTGCTGCTGATCTACTCTGATCCACATCATCTTTCACACAATCCGTCCATCTTTTCTTTGGCCTTCCTCTTTCCTTATATCCCTCCACATTCATACCATAATACTCTTCTCGTCTCATAACATTCTTCCCTCCGCATGACATGTCCATACCACGCACGTTAACCTAAATACACCTCATCTTTACCATCACTAGCGCCACTTTCAAACTTTCCCTGATGTACAGTATTTGCCTGGACGAATTCTTTCACAAGGAATTCTACTGCTATGAAACTGTTATTTATTATGATAATTTGTACATACGTCAAGCAGCTAATATCATATTATCTAGCTCTAGAAATATTATCAAGCATGTCTTTCAATATGTCTACGTAGTTTGGAACTCTTCTCTAGCTCTTGTAAAATGAAAGTCCCTCACGAAGACATACACCTGATAACTTTTCACGTGCCCACGCGTTGACACAGTAACGGGTATTTCATCATTTACCCATTCTTAATTATCGACAATTGCTGCCCACGTCGATCGGTAAAACAAAAATTAGTCGATGAAAACCAAATTTAGATACACTCGTAATTTATTATTTGTAAGTCGTCAACCTGTAGTGATTGTACTGCACTAATCCTAATACTAACATAGTTATAAGATGTATCATCATGTTACTAACTTGTAACAGATTAATTGTGTCATTGTTATTTATTTAATTCTTTACTTTGTTTTTCATTATTTAACTTAAATTTAGTTTTAACTACTTTTTTTCTACTAATATTCATATCATAATGGGTTTTCTTGGCTTTTATGTGTTAGCCATTGAATGTTGTGTATCGGAGTTTGTTCTTTTTAGTTTTAAGTCGTTTGAATGTATTTATTAATACACATGCTGTTGAAGTGCCTTCTGAAAATAAACAACTCGTATGGACTTTATTCTGATTATTATT